GATGTGTGCCATCAATTCTTCTCCGTTTCGAAATTCCAACAAAGTTCATTTAATATTTTTATACAAAACAACAAAACCTTTTTTTTTACACTACATTTTTAAACAATAAATAACCTACATTTGTTTTAATAAACAACTGCCTGTTGCCTACAGAAACTTGGTAAGTAACAACAGTGGTAAAATTAAATGTGGCCCGCTTTAACATCTTCGCACAAACTGGCCCGGCTCGCCCGGTGAAATACCACGACAACACAGAAAACAGGCGTGAAGTGGAAGCAATTCCGCGTTTCGTCTGATGATTGGGCGTCCCGGAGGCCTAATTTAGTCCCCTTTCCTTCCCATCCTTTTTTTTATGAGGAAAGGATGGGAAGTGGAAGTGGATTTTCCGGATGAGAGGATGCATAGAAAGGGAAAATATTTTCTTTCTGTGCATCCTCTCCTCCGTAGATTAAAGGTAGGCAACGCATATGCAATTGCGTATGTCCATGGGCAAGGGTCACTTCGCTATTTCAGCGATTTAAGGTGGCCGCTCGCTCGTTTGCCACCTTATGATATTAAAAAAAAGGTTTTTTACAGTAACTTCTAAGTCTTTAAATATATTTTTCCGATTTTAGTAGGAATGATTTAACCATAATAACTGTGACGGTTGTACTGTTTTCTTTTGTAAAACATGCCTATCGTGAACATTTCAAAATTTTTTTACAACTTTTTGCAATTTTTTATTTAAATTGCGAACCAAGCCCGTCATGCATTTCAATAGAGTTTACTTCAAACTTGTAACTTTAAAATGAAACGGTAACCAATTAGTAAGCGGCCTAATTGCCCAGACTAAACTTTCTTAATTGTAAGCTCTTGTGTTTTTACCGCTACTTAAATTGAATTGTTACTTCGATTGCATTATGTAACTTATACTATATTTTTACTTAACTTCAGATATTTACGACTAAATTTAAATAAATAAATAACCATAATTTAAATTCAAAACTTTCCACTCAGTGCGAAATTATGTAAAAAAAATTCATACAATCTTACTTCTGACTAATATTATAAATGCGAATGTTTAGATGGATGAATAAATGGATGTTTGTTTGAAGGCATCTCCGGAACTGCTCAATGAATCTCACTGAAATTTGGCATAGATGTAGAACATAGTCTGGAAGAACACATAGGCTACTAACTACTAAGTTTTTTTTTTTATTCCGCGCGGACGTATTCGCGGGCAACAGCTAGTAGATACATATGTTACGATTAAACATACAAATGCAATTTTGTTTGAAATTACTTCCATAAAACATTGTCACACGAAAAAAATATCGCAGAACAGGCGACTGATTGTATACATTGCCTGCTGCCATATAACGAAACGACATTGAATTTATTCGTCTCTATTCAAAAACAATTTGTAATCATTAACAGGGTGAATGTTTGAATAATAGTGTTAAAACAAAGAAGCTTAAAGAAGCCCAATCTTGCAATGTCCGTCAAATTATTTTTTTTTTGTTTATAAAATTAGAATAAATATTTCTTAAAGATTAACCAGATTTCAAATGCATAATTAAAAAATAAGTAATGATTTTATTTTGTATTGAAATAATAATGTTGTATAGCATCGAATGTAAACAAAGCGCTTTGTAGTTAGGGAGGCAGCGGCGAGAGCGTTGTGACAGGGCCGGACTAACACAAATAGCTCAATTAAACGGACCGGTGTCACAATATCGCTTCGTTAACAAATGGACCGGCCAGCGCTCACGTATCAAAGTATCACGTTCAGAATAACGCCGCGCGGCGTACCTTTCGAACATTTTTAATTCATCAAAATAGAAAGATAATTTTAGTATGAATATTCATAAAGGAATTATCGCACTGGTTGACTACAAATTATTATTTTTAGTGATTAAAACAAAGGACGAATCCATTCATATTGTCTCACACCGCTTTAGTTATAAGTTCATGTGAACATACCCTTATTCGTCTTCATATCCTATTCACAATGTGCTTCGGCTACAATATGAAATGTGATACATCTAAATAGCAACATGTTTACTTCCATACTGACAAATAATCGATAATCTGACGTCACCAATTTCAACAAATACTTGATACGAGTGTGACCGCTGGACATAATAACGACTCTATTTACATTGTCTCCTATGAAATAGATATTATTGTTGAGTAAAAATTACACTTGTAATCATATGTACCTTTGCACAACAATGTTGTTTTTCTAGCTTTAAAATACTGATACCATGAACTTAATACAGAAACATCGATTTTTTTGTTGTTGAGGTTCAATTTGTTGCATAATTTTTTATCTTTACAAATTCCTTTGTCACAAATATTAAAATCCTTGAATTTATAACTTTACCTAAATTTATTTAAACAATTTTTTACAGATTTTTTCAGTGCATGGTATATTAAATCACCAGTGCTTTATTCTCATCAATGTCTTCTAGGCATAACTATTTATAGGTATAGTAAAATATAAGGAATTTTATGTAAAACGCAAGAAACCATGAAATTCGTATTGCAGCAGGAAATAGAGCAACCATTAAAATGACCTTATTTAAGGTTGATTACGTTGTCAGACACACACGAGCACTGACAGTGGGGTCTTAGATGGGGTTTGGTCGACAGGAATGTGGACAATGAGTTCCAGTACAACGTAATCCGCTGGCTTTTACACCGACAACTTAGTATTCCTGTCATTTATTAAACAAGTTTAACATTATTGTATACTATTTTAATCATTGTTTATTTAAATTTTTAGTAAACGGTTCAAAGTTTCGAACTGTTTTAGGATCTAATTTCATATACCAGAACTGAAAAATATTTATCATCGAATCTGACATCTTAGCAAAGTTACAATTTCTATTTCGTTTTTTTCGGCTCTAATTGTTTGGCTAACATCATAACCAGGTAGATCAAAATAATTGTGGTATGAATTTTAGACACGATTTAGGTGGGAATGATCGATAAAGTACCAAGATCTCATCTGACATGCGTAAAGTATTTTAGGGATTACTGACTTCTGGAATGACAAATTTCCAAATCCAATCCAGATTGTCTCGCCTATTTAGGCGCTTGTTGACATCAGGTAAATTGTTGCCCTTTTTATTATTGCTACTGTTAGGTCTTTTTATCATTTTATTGTCTTTTACATTTTCTAAGCTGACCTCACTCGCCTAACTTTCCCGTTGGAGACAGGTGTCTCGCTCGCCGCCGCAATAAATAGCTATTTAGCAGAGAGTGCGGGTGCGGGCCGCGCGCCCGTGCGGTGTCGCCTGACGCCGGAAGGTGTTCCCAATTTGTCGCCCGGAATGAGATTGTCGCCGCTTTCAGCATTAGGTAAGTGGCTTTCACATTTCACTTTACGGGAGTCAACTCTGATTTATGTCGTTACATGCAACTTGAACATTTGAACTCTATAAAATTTTAAGAATACTTATATTAAAACTAAATCAGCTCCAAAGACAGAGACAAGACCGGTCTCCTTCGGACTTAAGTCTTAACTTCCGTAATTCGGAATAGAAGGTATACTGGTAGCATTTGTTTACGTAAGTATTCTTTTGCTTTATCAAAAAACTAGAAAAGAACATAATTTTTTTAATCTATGACGAATTTTCTTATGACTAACTTCAGTAAACCTTACATCAAACTGCGTGAAATTTCCATATTGAGTTAAGTTAAACAAAGAAATTTGATAAACTAAAAATACAGTTAAATTATAAATTAGGTAAATTAACGTTTTGTTGTTAATTACAGTGCCTAAAGCTTAAAGAACACAAGAACATTTTACGAAGAATTGCAAAACATCAACAACGCGATATCGCAAAAAGCACACAAGAATAGTACATGCTATATTTTCAATGCATTAAACATATTTTAATACAGTAAATTATGTACAATGTAAGTTTTAAAACAATTGACGTCAGACTTCTATATTTAGTTCCTTCTTACCATTGGTTTTCACTATCGTACACATACAAAACTTATCGTCAACTCTCTCATTCTTCTTCAAGAAATTATGATAAGAATATACTATTATACGAATGTTTCTGCAGTGTAAACTCACAGTTACACACATTCTTATAGACCAACAAAGTTATCTGACCCGGAGGGCGTAAGTCAAACTAAATTATGATATCTTATAGTCAAATAAAGATGTCTGGCCCGATGATGAGGCAGCCGCGCTTTGTTAAAAAAACATCAAAAACCAACATGAGTATAGAAAATGACAAACAAATATATATGACCATAAATCACCGGGTCAAATATATATTTCTGTCTATAGTAGCGCTCCTCTGTCTATAAAAATATATAAAATGTCACAAGCTTCTTGCCTTACTGTAGCTGTCAAGTCATGTTTTTTTCTTTTATATCAATTTGTATATATGCTGCGTAGGTTTTACATTTTTTTGTATAGTAACCGCTATAGTAGCGGCTTTCTTACCGGCCAGATAAACTTGTCACACTATAATAACGTTGAATTGCTCCTTGACAATTTATGGGGCAACGACTTTCAGAATATCCAACGTATTGATAAGCGCATCCAACTTTGGATTATTTATTTTAATTATAAGATACAATACCTTAAAATTTCATTTTATTCAGCCATTTTAATTTATTTTAATCGATCTTTTAAGGAGCCATATACAGAGAAGCGTCCCTATATTAGTATAACAGAGACCCACGCTGAACATATCATTGATCAAAAATAGTAAAAAAAATTTAAAATATAAAATTTAATTAAAATATCAAAATAATTAAAAAAATCATTATGTGATGTGTTTTACTAGTCTGAATTTTAACTAAAATTAATACACATACGATAACGTTTTGTAAATTTTAAATAATATAGTTATTTAAAAAGAATAAAATACTATAATAACATTTAAAAGTAAGTACTTCATAGATTATTATTTTACTAACAATCGTTACTATGAAATAACTATTACGTTAAGATTAAATCAATAGGTGACACATAAAATGAAACACAAGTAAAGTCCGAAACAATACTTTGTATCTGATACGTTTAATAAAGTAAATTAACATTAACTACAGCACGTTTAAAAGAGAATAAACTTGCTTATATATTTTATACCTTTTGTGCTTTGAAGATACTCTTGATACGTAAATCGTAAGATTCACATCGACGTGTTATACAAAATGTTTTGTTTCATAAAATGCATTTAAAACAATCACCAAAATTAAAAAGTAGGTTTACATCTACCATCAGACGTGCGCTGGTACCCAGTAGCACAAGCGCCTCTGAAATTTTCTCTTCCATCTTGTCCATTCGCGTTTGTTCCATTCGAGACACTCTTGGGTGTGCTCACACTGGCCTGTGTAACCTCGGATCTGTCAAAAACTATCCTATCAGCATCTACGTTATCGGGTTTAGACACTTTCACTGATTCTTTTGGATACTGGTTATTTCGTTTGTTGTTCGATTGAAAAACATTCTTGATATCGTCTCCGATTTTCTGTGCGGATTCTTGAATTTTCCCAAACAGATCCACGACCACGTCTCCATTTGCTTCGTGGCTTATTACAATTATCCCGACACAAAATATAACAATAAGCGATAGCTTCATGTTGCTTAAAACGTCTCTTTCTTCTCACGGTTCTTTAGAAAATATAGTCTTACAATTAAGCTACTTTCAAGAATATGATTAGATAATGTGCGACCTAGCTGACCTACAGCGAGATCTTTAGTCACTTGTGATAATTGTTGCGTTCGACGAATTGATAACATTAATATACCACAGCAATTCAAGGAAATCGCTACTTATAAAAATTCTGGTTATTTAATTCTTTTAAATATTTCTTATCCAAGCGGATGTTTTATCTGAAACTAAAATGATAGTTATTTATAGCTTCGTAGTGTACAGTCAGCTAAATAAACATATATACACACACACAAGTGTAGAAACTTGATTAATTCTCTTGGTACAAATATAAGTATGGAAAAACTGGTCAATAACATATAACCATGGTGTGAAAAACATACTGACGGATAAGTGCTTACAATTTTTTCTAACTGAAGACGTGTACAAGTTTTTACAGTTTGAAAGTGTATACATATTTATGTAGCTGACTGTACTATTCGTATAATATAAATTATATTGCATTCATAATAGACATTATTACAAGTGTTGTGCACGAGTGTTTTTAATTCTGAGTTCTTTGATATAAAGTGAAGTTGCTTCTTATCAACATGTTATTTATGTCATTATTTAAATATAACAAAGGGACATAAATAATAAGGTATTTTTTCTAGTATATTAGTGTATGTCTTCTAGATCGTATGGGACACGTCACACTTACCTTTAAAACGGTTGTTTGCAGTTGTCTAAATGATCTCGTCTCTGTCCATCAGGACATTCTAGCACCGGTACTCTTATTATTTGTCCACTTTTAACCCTCTCGGTAGTAGACGTCGTGGCCATGCGCAATTTCTCATGAAAATTGAAAACAATACCACTTTGTCCCGTTGAAAACGTGTACAGAGATAGAATAACTACAAACAACACAATCTTTGCGTCCATTTTATCGACTGTTATAGAACAAACTGCGCGTCAAATTCGATTATTGTGAAGTGCGGCCCCCAATCACCACCGTATCCTACACGCGCCGTAGATATCCCTCACAGCACCGTTCGTGCAGCTATTAGTGTTCAGTGGCACATCAATCATAGAGGGGCCAGGTGTGACGGTTTTGTTGTCGCCTCTATCTTTATTATTCTTTCCAAACTTATGAACTAAGAACTCCACAATATCCTTAACAGGATTACTAAAGGCGACGGCCACGTCTTGACCGGAGATCGGTGCGGCTTCGGGGTTTAACAAATCAAAGAATACTAAACAAATTAAGATATACCTCATAAAGCGAATCATTTTAATGTTCATTTGAATAAACTCACAGATTCACTCACACTAAATATAAAGGAACTCATCGTATATTAAAATTAAACTCGATGGAGTCTTTATCGATAACTACGCGCCAACAAACACGTTAGAGCGGTTACAATCTCTTCACAAATGATTTGTACAAACAAATATTAAATGGGACGTTCGTACGATAATATCGAGCTAATTTTGTCGCCGTATGTTCTATTAATGATAAATAGAAACTAAATGGTTTATCTATTACGGTAGTGAACCATCAACTTTTTAATAATAACTGCTTAAATCTATAATTGGACGTCAATTTTCTTAGGAACAATGCATAAATTATGATTGATTTATCATGTATTCCTGAACTGAGCAATTAAGATTATCTACGTAATTTCCGTGATGTGTTTTTATAAATATATTTTAATTTAATATACAGCAAACAATGGACATTATCCATGAACTCATTGAATGTATCTTTGTTTTTTACTTAACTTACATATTCTAGAATAGTGGTTTCCTACAGGATGACGCTGCACAATCAAATCTTCTACGATAGACATTGATGATATGATCAGGACAAAGTTGCAAGATTTTACTAGATGATTGCGACATATGATTCTCACCACCACTGTATCGGTTGGGGAAACGTCGACGAGACGTCCACTCGCAATTAACCCAACCGCTGCCGCTCGTCGCAGGCAATCAGTGCGTCCGTGAGAACGATAGTTTGGCTAACATTAAATCTTTATATCCTCCTTAATCGGCGAAGTGGAGATGACCGTCCGCCTATACGAACGCGAGGCTGGGTATTACCGTTACGACGAGGAGTGCACAAATGCACATTAACCTTTATAGTTCAAAAATATAGACAAGACTCATATTACGATAAGGGTATAGTGACACTTCTTTAAAAATTTACAGAGAGGCGCTAGTGAGTCATAATTTAGTTTGATTGATGCTGATCGGGTCAATAAGCTTGTCGGTCTTTAACACCTTAATAGTCAAAATTTGTTTAGTTATTTGGTTTACCGAAGGTCATAAAAGAATATAAATACATCATCATCAGCTCACTATAAGTCCCTATCAAGGAGCTCGGAACCTACCTTAAGTTAGTGCTAGTGAAATACATACCCTATTCATAAACATATAAGTACTAACGTACCCAAAACACATTATCATCTGTTAAATTATTCAAAGTCAGTGAGCGACGGGCCGCGCCCGCGAAATTATACCAGTACCATTCATCCTGATGAAGGGCCCCCGATGGGATCGAAACTAGTCGGTGCCGCCACCGAACGAATATACGTGAGTGTTTAGCCGTGTTTATATATCGCATTATCATCTGGTAATTCAGACAATAATAGAAGCTAGTATCTGTCAATTGATTACAATAAAATTAATTATCTATTTTATAAGTATTTTTCTATTCGATAAATTACAACAATATTTTTGAAAAATGAGAACTATTTAGTATTGCTTTCTTTTAATATTTAATCAATTTTACCTTAAATTATTTATACTATAAATAACAGTCAAATTCTTCAAACGAATACGGTATTTCATACACGTGAGAATATTGAGACGCTTCGCGGAATTCATACCGACTTTACATTAAAAGGATTCCTGTTGTATAGCGTTGTGATATAATATTAGCATAGGAATTCTATAGATGGAAATTACACTAAGATTTTATTACTGCAATGATATTAAAATGTTGAGTAAAATTTCAATTGAAACTCTTGAAATCCCGTTTAGCGGTTAGTTTCAAGTACTAATAACAGAAGGGGGCAAACGAGCATGGGGAACACCGAGGTGTTCATCGACGCCCATGGACATCAGCAATACCAGAGGAACCACAGATGCGTTGCCTGCCTTAATAATAATAATTAACACATTTGTCCTTAATCTACTTATAGCAAAGCTTCTTTTCTTAATAAATAGACTTATCCTTGCATCTTTAACGCATTTGATTTCCTTAAAGTTAGCAGAATACATTTAACATCTAGATAAGACTTTAATTCACTTTCTTCCATATTTAACATCGGTATAAAGCAACGTTAAGAATATTGTTAAATACGTAGTAAATCATGTCCCACTTATCTACTCTTTTTAAAGATAAAGAATAAAAGAAAACTAAAGTTTTAATTGATTTACCACTGTAATAATTTTCCCCGGTTTATTTAGTTTAAAAAGCTCAACATAAAAATGTTGGTATTAAAACTATCGAACCTAAAAGATTAAAAGCTACTAGCTGGTGAAAAAAAAAATGTATTTATTTAAAAATATTATTTTCAAGTTACGATTACAGAGAAAGCTCGAAATTCATCATTATAAAAAGCTCGTTAGTAGCGTCCGCAATACAAGCTCGGTTCAGTGATTTTATTCGTTCGGTAGGAATATAACTAATTTTCACGAGTGTACTGACTGACCAACTTTATAGTTCTTGGCAAATAACCTAGAAATTATGTTTCAAATTCTATTGCTACATAATCCAATGCAACACATATTTAACTCAAAAAAATATCGATTATTGCATACAATTATAGGGTTATAATTTCAAATAGATCATATGAATATTTCACGTAGCATTTATTAGATAAAAGGTAGTTATAGTTATTGTCTGCTAGCAGTCGACGGCGACTAAGCCCGCGTTGATTTAAAAAAAAACTTAATTAGTATCCTAAATATTCTTCCAGGCTATGTACATCTATGTCAATTTTCAGTGGGATCCATGCAGACGTTTTGCATTCACATTTATAATATCAATAAGAAGTAAGATTTAAAAAAAACAGTTAATGCAAGAAAAATCTGCGTAAAAATACTATGAGTCCATGACCTTGGCACGATCTCAGTAAAAATGTCAAAAGCATGTGTGAGCAGGAGAGTAGAGGCATTTCATTATTAAAATACCTCTCTTCGGGGCGACAATATTTCAATTACGTGTTGTGATAACATTTGTAATTAAAACCATTCAAAGCATGCCTACGCAAAAATGTTGTATTCTATACAAAATAAATATATTTAAAACATACATAGTTTAAAGTTTATTAGCTTTAACTTAACTATATTAAGTAAACCAACATCAACGTTCCAAAAATGTATTACTTTATGGAACAAATGATGCTAAAAATATATTTTATTCTGAATGACCTTAAATATAATATAATAATCAATATCTACGTATTGTTAATATGATAGTAAACAAGGAAATAAATTTTAATGGCAGCCATGTTATAAAATTAAACGAATCCGGATCGAGATCTGCATCGGGAACAATTTATGGATTAATTAACTCGTATGAAGGCTTTTCACATGAACAACAGAATCCGTTCACGTTTTAATTTTTATTTTTTATTAAAATAATTCAAACGTGTTTCAATAAATGTTTTTATTTAAAAATTATTATAAAAAAAAGTTTCTTCCTTTAAGTTTATATAAAGGTTAAAGAAATATACTCTAAACGATACATTTTCATAAAGATTCAAGATAATTTAATAGACATCTTGATCATCTTCTCATTTTTGGTTCTGCAGCTGCTTACAAAAAATTAACTCTTGAAATGTTTTCCTTTTTTATGCTGAAATAGAAAAATTCTTTCTTAATACATCAAAAATTAAAATTTTGTTAATACAACTAATTTGACGGAATTTGACAATGTTACGTTTATGCATGACTAAAATAGAACCATGAAACAACCGCGTAATAAGCATTAAATATTCAAGAGTTGTTTGTAAAAAAGTTTCCTTGACCTGGCTCGAGCAAACTTACAATAATTAAGTCTGAACTTAACGCACAATCTAAGCAAGCGATCTAAGGTTAATGCACACATTTATAGTCATGTCGAAAAAAGTTTAGTTTGCTAGTAATTTTATGCCAGCAGGCTGGAACGCACTGTCGATAAGTATAGCTTGAAAGTCATCAGTGACGCACTTAAACGAAAAGGTAATTGTAAACATTGCTGCTATACTCAAGGTAAATTTTTTACAACCAAAACGACAAATCTTGATTTAAATAAGATATAAAAAAATGCTGGCATTAATATAAAAGCCGGCAGGCTAATTTAAGAACTATTTCCAATTCAATCTCTCAAATTAACTAACATTTAAAGGAACTAAAGAACATTTAAAGCATTCCTTGAATTGAAAATTCTATTATATAATTATTGATTGCGTCCGTATAGAAAGAGGCATACCTAAAATTAACATTTTTATTTCTTGTTATAACAGCGATAATACATTATCTAGTATCGATTTACCCGAAATTTAACTATTCACTATTTCCCATAAATAGTCATACAGATTAGATATTAACGGCTATAATTTCTCGATAAAACACGATAACATTACTTACAGGATGGGAAGATTCATTCTTGTTGTTATTACATTTTTCATTGTCATCTTCTTCTGATGATGATGACGATGAAGAAGATGAAGAATCATCTTTACCGCGGCCCTGTAATGTTAACAATAAAATGAATATCATCATCAGCTCACTATACGTCCCCACCGAGGGGCTCGGAGTCTACCCTAAGTTAGCGTGATTAGGTCAACCACGCTGGCCAAATGCGGGTTGGTTGACTTCACACATATCTTTGAATTTCTCCTCAAATATATGCAGGTATGTATCACGATGTTTTCTTTCACCGCAAGAACGCCGGATAAATGTAAATATGTAAATCGGAAATCGAAAAACACATTGGTACATGGCGGGATTCGAACCCGGGAGAGACGCGGGAGACTGTGACTATTTAACAGTAGTATAGTCCGCTTTTACATAGCCACATTGTAGTATAAAAACGTCACTATGTGACGATTATTGAATAGTAAAAATCAATTGGTAAAAGGTTTTGTAAACGTTGTAAATAACTTATTTTTAGGGACCGCAATCGATAATAACTTACACATTTATCGTCTTCTTCTGATGATGAAGACGAGGAAGAGGATGATGAGTCTACACAATTAGTCTTCTTTCTGCCGTGACTCTGTAATAGCAATCGTATTTTAAAGCTTGAGTTATTCTAGTTTGTGATTGTACTACAAGAAAAAAATAGCAACAGAACAAAAGTAGATTGTATCTATAGTCGAGTTGAATTGAAACGACCAAATAAAATCAAACCTATCTAAAGAAATTTACCTTAACTTTTGGCTGTATTTATAGATTAAATAATAATAGACATGTTTGTATCGTTCCATTGAATTAGACTATACGACTGATTTGATATACTAGGAATCATTGATGCTAAAAAATAAATTAGAAAACTGAGCAGCCAGAGCTTCACCAAGAGATGCTTGATTAAATCTTGTTATATTATCTTTGAAAAGGAATACTTTTCATTGCTAACTTGCCGTCTAATTTTTTTTTCATGTTGATATAATGTCTCTCGATTCTCTAGAATGTTAATATGGCGTGTTAAATAATTGTTCAATATGTAGAAATAAATAAAATTAATTTATAATTTGAGTTTTGTTACCACCCTTGCATATCTATTAAACTGGAAAAAATAAGACGGCAAAAGTTGGGGGAACAGTTTCATCATTATTGCTCATTAGAGCCGCAATTGAGGCTCGCTTGAAGAAACCCGCCGCCGCCCGCCGCCGTAACTCGAACATTCTCCAAACAAATTGGAGTGTTCCACTGCGTATACTACAGCAAGCAAGCAGGCAACCAATATAGAGGTATAACACGAAAAACTTTTGGTAATTAAAACCCGCATATTGAACTATGTACTAAAAAAATGGGACAAAATAAGACTGATACTTATAAAAAAATCATCAAACAACGTTATTTTTAGCACAATTAAAAAAACTTAATAAGTAGCCTATGTGTTCTTTCAGACTATGTTCTATATCTATGCCAAATTTCTGCGAGATTCGTTGAGCCGTACCGGAGATACCTTCTAACAAACACCAATCCAAATATTCGCATTTATAATATTGGTAAGATTAGTAAGATACACAAACATCAAAAAAAGTCTAAGCAAACTCAACAATTTTATTAAAATGTTGAGAGTTACACAATTTTGATTTGTACATGAACATAATCGATGTAATAATTATGTTTTGTTAACACACTATTACCTTTTTGCCATCATCTTCCTCAGATGATGATGATGATGATGAAGATGAAGACGATGAATCATCCTTGCCTCTGTCCTAAAATAAATTGTATAATTCAAATTGTCGTGCGACATTATAATAAACTTATAAAAAACGGCTAAAATCTCACGTATGAAGGGATCCCGATGGGCTCGAAACCAGTCGGTGCCTTAATTTTATGCTCGTAATTTACTTGAGTATTTAGCCGTTTTTATATAAGTTTAAATTGTAAATATGTTTAACTATTGCTGCATTATTCCATCACAACACATATCTACAAACAAATTAATAATTATCTTATTATAGTATAGATCTAAACAAAGATAACAAATACGAACAACATCAACAGGAGCATAACCTTTGCTCTGATCTAATTTAGTTGAATTTATGATAACCTTCTTTGTATTCAATATGTATGTCAATAACAGTTTAACCTTACTTGTACAAAACATTAAGGACTCTACTACTTTTATTATTATATTTATGCAATGAAATATCATCTAGGGTCATACACATAAAGTAGACTCTATTTTTACTATTGATTTTTTAAGTATTTCATTCTTGTATCATCGTCTGGTCGAGTTTGCGAGGATTTACAAAAATGCAGCTAAGAGTTGATGGTGATTTTAGTGCTTTACATCCAACAATCTATTCTAACAGGTATTAGGATAATGATAATAATATTTGAAATTAAATCAAAACACATCAATACTTTTCTTAGTATTTTTCAAATCAGCGCATTTCATGTTCCACAAACTACAGGTAACTTCTAACTGAAGTGTAACTATTATTGTATATTGTCGTTCTTACCTCATTGCTACCACATGACGATTTTTTCTGTCTGAAAAAAAAATTTCATACTCTTTATTGAGGTAAACGAATATAGTGTCATAAACCAAGTCAAAGTATGGACTGCAAAATATACGGTAAGGTATTTAATTTGTTTAAATAATCTTTAAAAAAAAAGACTTACCCCGTGGAACAAGACCTAGCATCTGTAAGCGCCAATAAAACCAACGTAAACAATAATAAAAGCACACCTTTATTCATGATGAACTCTTCCAAAGAACTGAAATAGTCATTTTTAAATTAAACATTTAAAAACAAGGAAGTAACTGCCAAGTTGTAACTTAAAAAAAAGAAAGAAAAAACAAAATATTGTACGACACAAAAGAGAATTGTTGATAAACAAGTAATATTTATTTTTAAAATTTAACTCACCTAAATTAAACAAGTTTTCTTGTAAATTAATCAACACGGCTGCTTATATCGAAATTAAGATTTGCACTACAAATTCAAGCAACTAGTTTGGGGTACTACAATAGTAGGTCACTTGATAAGCATTAGATACACAACAAATGCAATGAAAACATCGCATTAATAATGACATTAGGTAAACCACAAACTGCCAATTAAGCTTTTGAACCAACGAGTGGTTAGTTTAATACAAAAATATATGTATATTTTTTCATAACAGAAGGGGGCAAACGAGCAGCGGGAACACCGAGGTGTTCAACCACGCCCATGGACATCAGCAATACCAGAGGAACCGCAGATGCGTTGCCGGCCTTTAAGGTGGTGATAAGCTCGCTTCTTGAAGGACCCTTAGTCGTAGCGGTTTGGAAATACCGCCGAGGACAGACCATTCCACAACGCTGCTGTGCGAGCAGGAAGTTTCGCGCAAACCGCACGGTTGTGGATTGCCAGCCATCGAGATGGTGTGGATGGAACCTGGCGGTCTAATTAATGGTTCACACCTTTGGTTACTTACCATCTCCAACTACTATTACGTATTAAACAATAGGTATAAGTATTTTAGAAGAACCTTGAGCAATAAATATTTTAAAAGGAATCACAAGAATAAGTAATAAACTTATCCTTATGATCCTTACAATATAAAGGCACTACAAACGTCTCGCTCAATTATCTGCGGCTTATCAACATTATTCGATAAACGTTTCGCCGTCAGCAAGAAAACAAGCTCCTTACACAAATAGAAGGGATTTTAATATTCTTAAGTAGTGATGATACTCCTGCGCTCTCTATAAAGGACTTGCAAAGTAATCCAGTGAAGGCGCGGGCTATCTCGCAAATCTGCTTGGGTCATCGCAACCTTTTCAGAAATAAACAGGTTTCGGCGAATAAAAAAAAACACTTATTTACGAGCACGGCGCAGTATGAACGACAATTTATTCTTAATCCGTTTTAGGGATCCGTAGTGGAATTTACTTGAAATAACCATTACTTTTTACTAATATTATAAATGCGAATGTTTGGATGCATAGATGTTTGTTAGATATCTCCAGAATGAATGCATGGATCTCGATGTATTTTGGCATAGTCATAGAACATAGCCTGGAAAAACACATAGGCTACTAATTACGTTTTTTGTAATACCGCACGGACGGAGTCGCGGGTGACCTGTATTCATTAAAAATCAGCGGCATAATTTAGATGTTTCAGAATTAGATACAGTTTTTGTCCAGCGATCAATATATCTAAGAAAAATCCAATCTTCAGAAAAGTGACTAATTCTACTTATTTAAAAAAATCTACCAAAACGACGTAAAATATACCTATTTCAAGTTTGTAAAATACAAAGCAAACTTGAAAGACCCAAACAGCAAACGTTTACCTGATCTGATTATTTGAAACTTATTGAATTTAGCTTGAATAAGCGCTGAATGTATTAGTCGCGAGTAAAATTACGGACCGGTTTAAACTTTCCGATGGAAGGGAGTTCGAAAATGGCATTATAAATTTAGCAGTTTACAATCACTGCGCTACTCGGCGGAGGCAAAAAACCTTCGCGGCAAACTCGTTCTAACTTTTCCTATTTTTCTGCGTTAATTTCACCTGAACCCATTACACTTTGCAACAATTCTTAGTGCGAACGTTTCTATTAGGATGTTTAAATTGTATTTTAAATGGCTTTTCCGAAGTTTCGAAGGGACCAGAAACGATTGCGTTTTTAATACAGCGCAAAAATCATTTTAAGTTTTTATACCCGATAAAGTTTTGTAAAAGAAAACGATGACATTTTCTCACTGATACTAATATTTTTTTTTACATAAATGGAGTCATAATGTGATCACTTACTAAGCTGGTACCATTTTGACAATCAGATTTTGCGTATCCTTATACTCGTAATTTTATTTTTGTCATAATACTATTACATTAAGTCACTACATTATGTTCTTAATCAAGAGGTATGATTATTCTGTCGTGTGAAGGATGCCTTAATTCTGTAGAATCAACTTACCTGTAACGAATGAAAACGGTTGTCGCAATAGTAAGAGAAAATTGGAAGCAAAGTTGAGCAATGAAATGTTAAGGATGAATAAGTTAATTGGGCCCCGGAGCGTATCGGCGGCCTGCTGCGGCACAGAGGAATGCATTTAAATTGGATTTTAAGAGTAGAAATCACCGGCGCCCGGCCCCGCCTGCCCGAGCCTTGTTAGACTCAATCTCAAAGTTTACGTAAACGAATAAAGCTTCCCCGTGGAACTGAATTTATTGATATCAATTCGACTGTGCTTTTTATACTTATATTGCTATTCATCTGCATCACAATGTATTTTCAGTCCAAGGGACGGCTCCAAATTAATTATTCATGCATACGATTATTAAAGCGCTTCAGGCCGTTCTGGCAAAATTCGCCGGAAAATTTATCAACTTACGCTCTATTAGAAAAATTCCATTTTTATTTTCATTCTGTTCTGGTGTTAATTACTGACACATAAATTGTTTATGTGATTATTGTGGAGCGTGGAATATGGCCAATACCTGTTTGTACCAATTCGCGTTTTTCGACATAAAAACTAGTAGAAAGTTTGTTCAATATCGTAATAGTTTTAATATTAAAATTATGAACAAAAATATTATATTTTCACAATACCATAACAAAAAACCATCATTCCATATCCTGTAGGGAAGATATTTAACACTGGAAATATAACAAATCTTACTAATATTATAAATGCGAATGTTTCGATGGATGGATGTTTGTTCGAAGGTATCTCCGGAACGGCTCAACGGATCTTGATAAAACTTTGCACAGGTATTGAACATAGTCTCTGAGAACACATAGGTTACTCATTAATTTTTTAATTTCACGCGGACTGAGTCGCGGGGGACTGCTTATTAGATCATAACATTAAAATAAATAAATATATCACTATTTATCCGGTAGGTGGCGGTGTGCATACGTAATACGTCCCGACTGCAGGAACTTCAGCGGAACACTGGGTTAGCAAGTTCTGAAAATTTCAACCATGAATATTACATCTTGTAACCCATAAACTTTTAGTTACAAGACTTCCCGGTGTGAAAAATAGGAACAGGTTGATAGTAAATTGGTAATCTATGGGTAAAATGACTATTGGGTATTACTAATTCTTGTTTTGTTGGTAATTTTGAAATGTATAAAAAATCAGAACACACATGTTACCGTTACCAGAAATTATTCATAAAACTATTTATTTTGTTTCAAATATAGTACTAAAAAAGAATTCAGTAAATAAATGTAAAAACTCCACGAGAATTTAATTCGCGTAATACATTTTACTACGCTCATTACATAAATGTAATTTTAATTCCGTCCCTCAAAATACATTGACGCAAAATATCGTAACGGTTTGGTTAATTCCGGGGAAAAACGGTGCGAGTGCCCTCGTAAATGTTGGCTGAGTGTGTAGGGCTGCGGCTGTTGCTGTGGCAAATCATTACGACCGACAAAAATTACTCTATAGGTAGACGTGCTTTTTGTCGCTCTGTTATTTCCTTTATAACTCACATTTTCGAGTCAAGAACCAACGTCATTATAGTAAATTATTTTATATAAGTAAATATTTTTATATTCCAACCATAAAAGTAAGGAAATACTGTAAACAACAAAAATAATATTGAAAAGTTAATGTTATGAATGAATGTTAGAAAAAAAACATTAAAATCTTGACAAATAATCGGTCATCCACAAAAATTCGTCGTTATACATATTGTGCAGCGGTGAAAGTGTAGTAATTATAAAAACTAAACATATAGCAGCACGAGTTTATAATAAATGCGAGTACGCAGCGGTGTGGTGTCGGTGCGTATCTCCGCGGAAAGAAAACGGTTTTCTTTACGAGCTATTCCGCTGAGCCAATATTTCTTCGCGACAGTGCGCGCCATCATAAAATAAAACGAAAAATTCCAGAGCACAGCCCCGGGCCGCCATGAAAATCATAAGAGGCGAGGTTTTATTAGCTATCGGCGCAGCCAGTGCCTTCCTCAGGTGATTAATAACATAAACAATACCTATATGCTTTTACAACTATTGGATGGAGTCAATAAAACAAGCCAGAATGAAATCTATCCATTCGCAGTAAAGATTTTATGCGGAAAATATATTAAAATATACTTATTCAAGTCTTACCTAGCCCATAGCGGTGCATTTAAGGTTTAAATACAGATACTGACTACAAGCTTTGTATCCACTGATTTGTTTCGTGCCATTCCTTTCTTACTACATTTATGTCATATGTGCTTTCAGAATGAAACGATCGGTACGATGTTTTCAAACAATAAAACCAATAATGTTCAAATAATACTCTTTTCCTGATAACATACGTTAACTGCTCCCAGTAACGACGTCTATAAGCGGATTGAGTGCACTCAGAATGTCGTCCTCTTGAAAATACTCCAACAACAAATGCTTGACAAAGTACTCTGCCAATTATTTACTTCCCCTGCTTCGAGTATTCAAAATAAGAAATGACTTATACAGGTTGTTCCCAAATACGTATGGGTAATATACAAATTGTTACGTTTTGTTGTAAAAAAAAGTATGTCGGAGTATATCATGCTTAAATCTGAAAGTTTTTGATTTCCCTCGCTTTGTTGCAACAAACTAAGACCAATTATTTTGCAATTTTTGTCCCAAATGGTACTCCAAGTTTCTGGGCTTATAACATTACACTTCGAAAATGTAGCCATGATAACAAATTATTTTTGATTTTGTTTAAATAACAGAGCGTCAAATTAGTTGAATAAATGAAAGACGTAAATTGTCGAAGGAAATCATAACAGAGGAGATTTTACTGGCCGGCATTCGAAGGCGGGAAAAGATTGTTTCAGAGCTCAAACAGAAGCGAGGCGATAATAACAATGTCGTCACTTCCTCAATATCATTCCTCCAATATTTCTAAAGCACGAGATTCCCAATAAACTTTTATTCTTTTGATTTTTTTTCTTTTTCTTTATGAGGTCGTTGTAAATTAAGCTCCTAGACCTATAAATTTTTGAAAGCCT